ACGAGCTGGTTCTGTTTGGGTTAATACTTATGATAATTTTGACCCAGTTGCACCATTTGGAGGTTTTAAACAAAGTGGCCTTGGTAGAGAAAAAAGTGAATATTCATTAGATTCTTATACGGAAGCAAAATGTGTATGTATTTGTTTTTTAAATATTTAAAGAAATGTACTATTAGATATTATTTTTCTTCTAGGTTACAATGAAGATTTCTCAACGAAATTCATAAACATACACATAATTAAAATATAAACAATGAAAAACATGAATGATTTTGTTTATGACAGAAACTTTTGATTGTAGTTTAAGTATTGATATTAAAAATAAAAATTTTCGTGGGTCATTTGATTCTAATATAAGTTTTGTTTTGATTCTAATGATTAAAAGAAATATAATTATCCTGCAGATTTTTATAAATAGACTGTATCGCATCACTTGAGTTATTATTGATCGATTCATGAGTAGTGACAACGTCACTGAATTGCTCAGAAAATTTTTAACTTTGTTGCTAATAGTGGTCTCACAGGAGATCTGAGGGAGTTCACCTCACCTAGTCAAAAATCCTAGCACTACTGCTATTCATGATGTTGAACAGATTGAGGGAAAAAAGTAATGTTGATTGGATAAGATCGATTAATATAATCATTTTTTTGATACAAAGATATGCTTACAAATTACCGATAAACTAAAAGTTTATTATTATAGTTATATATATGTTGTTTTTGTTCGTCGGAAGTATCGATATAGATAAGTTCTTACTTTGATATTCTTTTAACTTGAAACCCCCGCAAATATATAACCCTCATAAATAATCATAAAACAAATCTTTACAATCGTTTTTTGATAAGTTACTTTGCTATACAGTCATATATGCCAAATAATATAGCAATAAAGGAATATAAAAGTGTTAGTTCATTATATTTAATGTTTATTCATGCTCAACTTGACCTTAAATATATATACTTGGCAACAATACATAATGAATTAGATACGATAAATAGGGGTAGAGAAGGTGCCTAAGTAGCTTCTAATGTGTACTGTTGATATATGTATAGGTGGCACCACCTATCAATACATCAGTAATACATAGTAGAACTTGATAATGCACATATCATTAGATAGAGAAAGTCTTTCTCTAGAAGCCTACATATGTCACCTTGTGTAGTCAAAATGTTATGGTCGCCTTTCCAGAAAGAACTACGAGAAAATCTCTAGAAAAATTTCGAAGCTCTTGATATATCACTAGCGCCTTCCACATAATTCCGATAATAAGCTATTCGCAAAAAAAAAGAAATTTCTAACTACTTTCAGAGAATCTAAGCATCTAAAAAAAAGATATAAAATTCACAAAATTTCTGTAAAACTACCAGCAAACTTCATTAGATGCGGAAATTATCATATATACGTATATATGTCTTCGAGAAATATCACTGTATTTTCATATGGAGAACAAGATCTTACCCTTCAAAATATTGATGATTTTTGTTATTCTGCGGAAATCATCAGAAAATTTTAATAAATACGAAAATTTCTACTGTATTTATTGAAATTTGCTGCTAATTTTCAAGACTGCTAATATTTTAGAGGATAGGATCTTCTTTTAAATATATCTGTATTGAAAAAATACAAAAAATTCTATACTTACAAAAATTTTCGAGTAATTTTTAAGGATAGCTCGATGTTTGGAATACATTTCTTTGATGTATTATGATATTTTCAGAGGTTTTCTGATAATATTTGTATAGTTTATTTTCTATTTTCTAGAAAAAAGTGAGAAGTTTCCTTGTCGAACATTGGTAATTATCGAAATTGTTTAGAAATTGCGAAAGTTACTAATAGATTCCTATATCTCTTTTTCTTTATAGATTCTTTTGCTATGTCGGAATTTTACTTTTCTGAAAATCTGAATATGTCTCACATATCTTCAAAATAAATAAATATATAGACCATACTAGACAAAACGAGATATACTTACCTTCATTTGACTTTGATTCTTTACAAGGATTATTCTTCTGAATAATTCCTTTTAGCATAGACATATAAAAAACGTTGACTCTTTCTTTCAGCTGATTATTAATTAAAAAAATAATTAGTGAATATCTCTGCAATTATACGAAAAAAAATTCCAAAAAATTTCAAGATAAACTCTACGGCACGAACTACATCTCTGGTAAAATTTTTAGTAAGATCGGATTGTAAAACACTTTCCCTTAAAACTCCAGTTTTCTAGACAACGGAACTTCTCATTCGACTATAAAAGCATCTTTTCGTTTGTATATTCGTACTCAGTCAAGTCGCTAACGCTATTTTTTCTAACACATATCTCCTCTAAACAAAGGTCTCTAGTACTGATTTTGTTCAGGATATCTACAGTAATTTATCATACGTGTAATATATGGGTAATTCCATTGAGTTTATACCACTTTTTAGAAAACGCGTCGATTTACGAAATATTCATTGTTGTGCTAGAAAAAAACGAAGACTATCGCTAAAAATATGTTGCTTTCTCCGATGGCAGCATGAAAAGTTAATATAATACGAACATATCGGAATCACAAGCTGTCAACTTTAAGATTTTGTCAAAATATGAGGAACGTCTACATTTACTAGGAACTTTCTCGAGTTTTTCTCTGAAAAAAATCATGAAATTTTATATGGAAATTAGCTATACATGTACCTCACATTTTGACAAAATCTCAAAGTTGCCAGCTCGTGATTTTGGTTTCTTCGTGTTATATCAACTTTTTACGCTCTCATCAGATAAACTAGCAAATCAAAATATTAATTGGAGACCTGTTCCAGGAAAGTGGTATAAATCCAGTGGAATCACCCATATATATATATATATATATAAATTAGCTCTAGGAAAGTTTAGTATCTCATTGCGAAGTCACGCCGTCTAACGAATGATTTTATTCATATATATGAAATTTGATATTTTTTAAATTTGCTGTTTTAAGTATAAAAATGTCTATAGAACATACTAATGAACATTGATCTCAATGATTTGTATGCAAGTATCTAACCAATACGAACATATAGCCAATAAAACACCTTGAATAAATATATGTATAATACATAGGAGCTTAACAAGGACTAATGATACTATACATCATAATCTTCAATGAAGAACAACATATCATAATGAACATCAAAGTAGGAGGAGATCATGACATTAGACAATAGAAAAATGGTGTGTATACTTTCACCTTATATTGCATTATTTCAAAAATAGAAAAAAAACGCAACGATTGGTTTGTCGATCTTTAATTAAAACATTTATCTACGTTGAAAAAGAAAACAACAACAAGTCTTCTTCTAACTTAACCGTTCAAATAGTTACTATTAATTATGACCGATAATATTAATAAAAAATTTATTGAACAATTAAATAAACATATTGAATTAAATCGTGAACATATTAAATCTATTCAATATAATTCAAATTTAACAAAAATTCGTCTTAATAAAACTCGTATTGATCTTAATCAACGTTATGAAATACGTAATAATTATTATCATAGAAAATTTCCTTTATTACTTCATGATTTATCTATTATAAAATCAAATAAAATATATTTTCAAACAATTGAAAAACAACATTATCAATCAATAAAATTCTATAAAAATTTATTTAATATACAATCATCAATTAATATTGAACAATATGATAAACAACTTCAACAATCGATTAAAACTCTTAATAATCTTAAAAATAATATAAATCAATATGAAAATAATATAAATGAATTAAAACAAGAATTAATTAAACAAAATCAACAGATAGATTTTTATATTAATAATCTTTTTCATATTCAATATGAACAATATCAAATTCAATTAGATATAAAACAATTAAAACAAAAAATTTTATTTGAAAAAACTTTATATAATGAAATAAAACAATTTTATTTAGAAGAAAAAAAATCTTTTTTTAATCTAAACATAACATTTGAAAGTTATTATCAAAAAATCTTTCAAGGAGAACAACATGAATATATTGATCAACTCAAACAAAAACAACAAATCCTTAAAGACGAAGAAATAACATTAAAAAATATTCTTAAAAAGAGTAAAAATTTAAATGAAAGTCAAATAAATCGATTTCATACAGAATATATTAAACTAACGAACGACATTACTCAAATAAAACTCAATATTCAAAAAAAAATTACTGATTTATTGCCATTACAAAGTGAATTATCTATTTATGATACAACATTCAATATAAATAGAAATACTTTTATTCAATCAAAAAACCAACTTTTACTCGTACCAACAACAACAACAACAATGAATACAGAAGAAATCACGCATGAAGCAGCTCCATTAATAAATAAACTCAATAAAACTATATTACATCCCGAACAGCAACCATCACCTATTGAATTTACTATCAAATCGGAATCGACTAAGTCCACATCCGAAAAAAGTAAAATAATACATAATATAATTTTGACTTCTTCAGTTTCTTTTTTAATATCTCGACAGTCATTGAAAAGTCTTATCAATCAATCACAAAGCATGCTACCTGTATGGCTGTATGAGATTAAAGCAAAAGAAAAAGAAAGTAGACTCTCACATTTGGCCTCTAATCCGTCAAGACTAAAGGCGCGTGCACCATGCAATTGTCCTTTACAAGTTGTGAATGTCGAAACGCCTGTTTTTTTTGCCCTCTCTCTCTCTCTCTGTCTACTTGTTTGTAAGCATAACTTAATCGGTCGCTTGTTCATACATTTGCCGTTATATTTCATAGAAGCAACCTTGTCCTCGCTTCTTTTGGATTATTCGATATAGTCATCATCTGAGACATGTAAAAAAGGGAACGAAAAAGAAAAAAAATGAGATGGATGAATGAACGAGAAAGAAATCAAAATGAATGAAAAGTAAAATGCATATGTGTATATATGACAGAAGGTTAAGTCAATCGTTGATGCTTAACGGAGATAATCTCCGTATCTTATGTTAATTATATGAGCAAAAGCGATTTTCTCATGTAAATATGCACAATCTTCAAACAACTCCATTAACTATATCATCTTCTTATACTGTCGATGTCCCAACAACTGATAGTGAACGTAAGTTTTTCTTCTCTATTAGTATTTGTCACATATAAACGAAAGAAAACGAGATAAAAAGAGAAAAGAAGAAAAATAAAATAAGATCATAAAAATAAAATCGACCTGCATCACCATACTTATGGCACGTCTGCCTTACTGTGTCATTATATATATATATATTCTTTTCTCTTTTATTCACATGTGCATATTGAAGTAGTGAATTATTTAACTGTTTCTTCTTGAATTTTATAATTTAATTTTAATACAATTTATATAAAAATATAGTAATGCCTGCGACGACAAAATTACATCGTTCAGGTATCTTTTCAAAGGCATGATAGAAGACAAAGAACTAATTAATTGATGATTTGTATGTTTTGTTTTTGTTATATATCTATCTATCTATTTAGAATCGTTGGGACCAAATTTACAATCTCGTCTTGAAGCACTTGAAGCGGCTATGGGTGTCCGACTTAATGTAGCTAAACGACAAGGACGTCATTCATTGTCAAATAGTAAATTCAATGAAATTTTTTTTTTCTTTTTCCTTTCTTATTTTTAATAAAAATTTCTTCTAGCTACAAGTTCTTCACCAATGGAACTTTCACCAACATCATCAACAACAATCAAAACAAATATATCTAATTCACTTGCAAATTCAACTCGTCATAATATTCCAACACGACCTGGTCAAGGTGTACAACGATCTGCATCATCATGTGATGCTGAAAATCGTCCCGGTCCTATAAAACGTCTTAAACCTTCATTACCTAATGAAAATATTTCATCATCATCATCATCATCATCATCATCATCGTCATCGTCATCGTCATCGTCATCGTCATCGTCATCAACTGTTGCTGCTATTGCAACTGTAAAAAAATATCCACCCACAGTTCGTCGACGATTACCAACAACAAATGTAACACCAACACAATCAAAACAATCAACTCCAATTAAACAACGTCCATCACCAATGAATACATCATCATCATCAGCATCACGTTTATCACGTTCATCAACACCAAGTAATAATAGTTCAAATTATCGAACACCAATTGGTAGTATTTCACCAAAAATTTCTCCTACATCATCACCAAAATCACAAATAATGAATTCATTACCAAATTTATCAACAAATATTCCACATAAAAATACTTTATCAATATTCGGTGAACAATTTTCTGATGATATTATTAAAATAAATTTATTATGGATTGATTTCAAAGAACTTGATGATGATAGCCGTTCGGAAGTAATTTTACAATTTGGTTCAACAGAAAATTTTCTTCATGAACAAAATTTATTTTTTAAAAAACAACAATCACAACAACAATTAAAACTAACATCAAAAAATAAGACGAATGTTAATCGATCACGTTATCACTTATCAATTATGAAGAAGGATCGGCTAGAACTTCTTTAAAAAAAAATTAGAATATAATTTTTTTTCAATTTAAATCTACAGTTGACTTCTTCTTCTTTTATCCGGTGATCTTTTTTTTATTTCGTCTTATTACGGTTAAATACATTACTGTTTCTTTTTTTTTGAATTGCTGTTTGTATGTTCAAAAAAAAACGTCTTTTTTTTTCTTAATTTCATTGCATTCATGTTAACTAAATATATCTTAATAATTATAATTATTCCTTTTTTTTCCTCTTATTGTGAATAAAAGCGTTGTCAATTTTTCAAAAAAAAATGATATCAAACATTCTCAAAGATATCTCAATTACACAGAATAATACTGCAAATAATACTAAGAAAATAAAATTAATATAGAATGAATCTACTTGCAGAAAATGTCAAAAAATATAACAATGTTTTTCTTCTATCATTATATATTTAGGTTTCATAATTGACTTGTTCTTCTAAAAGCTAATTATAGTATCGAACCTTGATTCCATGGATGAGATCGGCTAAAACTTATTCATTATTATTAATTTTATTCAAACATTATTTGATTTTGTTCATAGATAAAATATTCATTCATATTTCATTGGTAACCTTCGATAACAACAAGGTGAAACTTCTACTAGACGAATTGTACGATAGAAAAAAAAATATTTTTCCATTAGCTCTACTAGCTAAATATCAAGGTAACAGACTCGTAGGAGTTTTGTCAGGCTTTCTAATCAAGAACATTTTTATTACTATGCCAATAATAGAAGGTCATTCATTTATATCAAACTATAGCCGTATCGTCAATGTCATGTTGTTACTATTGTTTACATGTTTGTCAAAGCACTCTGTACAATATCATACAAGGTAACAGTCGTTATTCAAAATGATGAAGATTTGTTAATACAGAATATATCGAAATTTCCAGAAACATTTTTAATTAAGTAAGAACGATTGTAATCTAGTATTTGACTTTAACCATACAAGAAGACTTTTCGTTAGGTAAGTTTTAAAATATCATTTCTAACAAAATCTATTGAATACACACGAAGTGAATATTGTGGTTGTATGTTGTATTATAAAATATATATATATCTAATGTCCCGAGGGTGCCAAGATTGGAGAAGGGGGAGATCTCTTATGAGATTGATCGGAAGTTTATTGCTAAAGTTGACTAGATAAGGGTGAGTCCTTTTTTTAGACACTGGTAACTAATAAAATATTAGAACTACGTTGGAGAAAAACAAACACTTTTAATGAAAATAATACTCATAAAAACAAAAAAAGATCATCTATTCTATAGAATTCCATTTGTTACACATCTTATATTTCTCTAAACGATTTGTTCATCAACGCGTTAAATAGGTTTTTTTTTATCAAGCTTTTAGACTATATAATGACGAACAATGATTCTTTAGAAATTAGACATTTTTTTGTTATTAGATTTATATCACACTGTGTGTAGGTAGTTAAATTGTTTAATACAATCAAATAGTTATGTTTACATATAATCATATTAACTATGACGATGTTCATTCAGCAGTGTAAAGATTCAAATTTGGATGTTCTACTTATTTATTTGATTTAGTGATATAAATTAGATGAGACGTAAAAACGTCATGTTATAGACTAATCTAAAGTTTACAATTGATAACTATTGTTCTGATGTATTAATTATATCGATTGATACAAATTATTGAAATATTATTTCAACAATAATACAAAAAAAAAGAAAAATTCATTTTGATAGTTAAGAATATAATTTTGAAGTTTTTTTTTTTTGTTTTTGTTAGTTTTAATTTCACTTGTAATAATACTAATGCATAGCAAATATTAATATTTACCAAAAGCTATTGACATTTTTCCGTTCTCGAACAAGAATTAAATTCAAAATTTATTTTCTTGTAAAATCTATCGAGAAGAATTTTATGAAGCAATAATATATTAATTGTTTCTATCAATAAATATCGAAATAATTAATAAAAACTGTTCTTTACAATGTAATAATCCAATTAGAAAAAAAAAGATTCCTGCTGTTGCTTATGTTAACTAACGGTTAATGTTAGTTTTTCATTGATATATAAATATATTTGTTTATTCTTCTGATTATCTTCTATGAGCAGAGAAAAGTAAACATCATCTATTCACTAAAACTGCCCTTTTCCACATGATGATAGTCATTAAAGAAAAGGCAAAGAAATTCATCCTCATCAATGTTATTCTTAATCATTAAAAAAAAAAAAAAAAGACCTACCGCTCTGACTGAACAACATCCTTAGACATATACTCTTCATTGAACCCAATACGAGAATTCATTTCCTTTTTTTTTTCCTAGATGTGTTTTTACTCTCCATTCATAAGAATTATCTATTTGTATGGATGCCTCCGGAAACTATAATGATGAATATACAAGAAAAGCCTGCATGCTATGCATTTCACACAAACATTCGACTATGTATTTTTAATTTATCTTCTCTCTTGAACAGATGTGTTCAACTTTTTGACAAGACAAGAATCATTATAGGATGGATGGGGTGTATTGGTAATGGCCATCGTGTTCTCGCTATCTAATATTCATAGACGATGAACTGGATAGAGACAGTTATGAGAAGTGCAGAAAGAGAAAGGACGCCAGGAGCATTTGTTCAACGTCATCTTTTTTTTTCTGCTTGATTCTCTTTTTTTTCTCTCGTCTTATTATTTGTCAGAACGAAAGAACAGGAGTAGTAGTACAATTAGAATAGGAATTGTGAAGAAGAAGAAAAAAAGAAAGAAAGAGAGAGGAAGAGAGAGAGAGAGAATCCAACAACATATTCTTTCTATTCCCATCTTATAAATTGTCGTGAATAGAAAACGAGAATTGTCTTGATACAAATCGTTTTATTTCATAATAATTTGTTATCTTATCAAAAAAAAAACGTCTTTTGTTCATCTTTTGCTATTATGACTTGTTCTATTGATATGATAATAAAAGATATGTTTTGTCATATATCTCTACTTGATCTTTTATTCTAGATACTCACTTCATTCCTTTTCTATTGACAATGACAACATTAGCACGTCGATTATTAGGCAAAAGTAAGTGAATATATATATATATCCTTCATTCGCTTGTCAACGATATAAACAAAGAAAATTTATTAATTTAAAATAGACTCGTGATGTTCGACATTTCAATTCATTTATTCTATATTTAACTTGTTTTTTCACATGTTCTAATAAGAAAGAGATTTAATCATCCTGCTGTGTTGTGAACAGATGCAGATACATGCACTAAATAGATCATTTTAATTTTTAATAACATGTGAACATGCAAAAAAATAATATACGGAGATATATGACAGATGAAACGTAGTTCGTTAGTTCTTTTAACCAGGTATCTATACGAATTCTCACGAGATTTTTACAATAAAATTATTAACAGAAATCTAATATCATCAGATTCGTAGTTTTCTCAAATAATAATAATAGTAATAATAATGATTTAATATCATGCTTGATATAAGAGCATTTTTCTTTTTTTTCAATGAAACATGAAACAAATTACGCAGAAGTATTAATGCTCATTTTGAACAAATGAGCATCTGTAAATATGTATATATGCACGCGTAATATAACAACACCAATGTGTACATACACATACTTATATATACTTGCATTCTTCATCGATGTAATATCGAAATGACAGAAATTAGACCTTCAATTGACATATACATACACTTTCTCTCTTACTTACTCCATCCATCTATCTAAATGACTGACGTAACTATCCTTCTCTTTCTCACCCGCCTACTTATTCATTTCTGTCGCTTGCCTTATACAACTGTAACTGATGACGATAATAGTGATGATGAGTATGGTATATATTTGCCAGTAGGCAAGTACCTGACCAAATAGACAAAAATTATAAGATAATACATATTCATTCTATCGTCAGTTCTAATACTATCGAACAAATGAATTATATATATATATGTCATAGAAAAGTCTGCTTATCTCTGTCAATCAATTAATGTATAATCTAGATTGTCTCGAGATCGTAGAAAAACTAGGCAATAATGTCAAAGATTTGCAATAACTATCAAATATATTTTTTTTCATCTATTATTTATAAAAGACTGTCAGATGGTATGTGATCTCGTTCTTGTTCAGTTAACTTTGTTTACAATTAGTCGGATCTTTTTTTCTGAAGTTTTACTAATTAGAAAAAGAACGCAATTATATTGAGCATTCAGACATGTGCATTGTTTCTTTAGGCTATTTATTATCGAAATTAGAAATTTCATTATTCTTCTTCTTTATACAGAACGAAAGAACGAGAGAGAGAGAGAGAGAGAGAGAATAAGTTCAACTAGTTTTTCTTTTTCTGTTATTATTCCTGCTGTTTCTCCTGATGATAATCATCATTCGATTGACCTCCTTATAAAAGCCTATTGTATTGTACGATTATTCGTTGATACAATTTTCTTTTTTTGATGAATTCAGTCAACCATCTGATTAAAAAGTAACAAGACATTCATTCAATCTCTATCTAGTTTTCAAATGTTTAATTTTAAACAAATATGTATATATCAAAAAAAAACAATTTTTTCATGTACTTAAAAGGTATGAATAAATATTCTTAGGTACTTTACAAAAAAAAAAAAGCAAGAAAGAATCTCTAGAGATTTATTGTACTTTGGACAGAAACATATGTATTTATATATCCATATATCTACTATGTTATAAATAAATTCTTTCGAATATAATGATATGATAATAAAGAAGGAGAAAAAAAATGTATATGTATATGTGTCTCGCCGATTATATATATATTAATTTGATTAGAGACACATTTATGCCAATGATATATATATATAATAGACGCTGACAAAACTAACAATTATTTTGAAGAGGATTGTATGATTATTTTTCTCTTACACCTTTATTTTTTTTCCTATAGATAATTCGTTGATATTGATTGAACGATGTCATAGCAGCTGCTTTCTTTCTCTTGTCAGTTTTTTTCTCTTCTTTCTCTCTCTCTC